TTGCGAAGTGACCCTCTCGAATGTCTCTGTTCCTTCAAAGTCATTCAGAATGACGTGAGAAAATGGCCGATATCACAAGGGTTTCAAACGACCGTAGCTTACACTGGTCTGTTCCTCACGTTTGTCAGTTGCCACGACGAAGTACAAGCTCGAGATGTCGCATCCGTCTTTAAACCAAATCGGTTGTTTGCAGTCCACGGGTTAGTTTTTTCGGAATGGTGTGCACCCGAGAGCGGAATAAAATAGATACGGACAGGATTTAAAATGCTAAAGAGAGTATGCCCAGGGGTGCATTGTTTTTTCGAGACAGTGGGAAATTAGAGATAGGTGCAATGCGTGTGCAGCGATGAAAACTCCATTTTTTCGAGATTTATTTTGCAATAAAGGATAATATGATGAAATTGTGTATTTCCGCTTTTCTTTCGTTTTCCGTCAATATCCTAAAATTGGTAAAGATCGTGTGTGTGGGATGAGAGTTATTCTAAAACTTTAAGGGATGCAAAACTTTGGTCACGGTATGTGTACTATCGATCTCACAAACCCAAGCTGTGTGCTCATATTCTGCATTCAAGCTGCCATTCAACTCACTTCACAACTTAAAATGTTTTAGTTGCGCTCCACGGTTCCTTAGTTTAGTCAAACAGCATTTCCGCTTCCAGAAAAAGTTTGCCATTTTCTGAGCTCATCGATTTTCCACTTTTTTACGATTCTTACTCAGAACGAAGTACGACTGAAATCCAGTCGGCAAAGTTGTAACCATGTTCAGAATAACTGCCGACCAAGTATTCTACAATCTTCTGTGGAGTTTTTCTTAAAACCAGTAGCCTCAGTTGCGATCGGTGTACGGACTTCGCAATGGGATCATCGCTCTTTCATTTCTCTTTTTGTTACCAATCAGGGCAACCATGAATGTTTGTGTTCAGAACAGAGAATAAACAGCTTTTTGTTTCCTTTCATGATCTTGTGGATCAAGCTCATGAGAGCTTCTATCGTCTTTTCAATCGTCTATATTTCAATAAAATCGCTATCTTCGGTTTCCTTCCCCACACGAGTCATTTTATCCTCACGTGCATAACCAACATCTTTTGCACATGGATGAGGATGGTGTAATAGTAATCAACGTATAATGAAATTCAACTTACCATATCCCCGTATTCCATGACGTGGCTACTTTGTACATGATTTTTCACGAATTGGAATTGGTTAGACAAAGTCCAGGATTTCAAATCATGCTAAATGCAAATGGAATATCACGATAAATTGAAACCTTTGTAATTGAATTCGAGAGAGCAAAATGAATATTATCCATTCTCCTAAAATGACGCTAGGGTTTTCAAAATTTTATGATTTTGTTCTCATCTGTTGTCGCAATTTTAATTTTGTATAGCTGACTGTCTGTATACAACTGGGACCGCTCAACGTGCGTTCATATTTTCCCACCTCGTTTTGTCCAGAATCGTCTGAATGGAACTATTGCCCTGATCTTCTGGATCGAGAGTAGTGCATATGTGTTATCCATTGAGCAGCTATTGAAACAGTCCTTGAGTCAGTACTAGCAGCTGATCGGGGAACTAAAATGTTAGTGACCATTGATTGATTTTTGCGTGTGATCTGTCTTTCGGGTGTGAGCATATTGTCCCTCACTCGAAGTCCGGTGACAATGTCGGCAATTAGAACAAGCTGACTTGGGAACGCGGACAGCTCATCGCTGAACAAAGCCATTGTCCATTAGACCACTAATTTCGTCATCAAAATAGCCAGCGTTTTCAGACTGTTTTCCAGTTGTTACCCCCACAAGTCAAGGAAACTGGTGCACTATTCCCCAGGATTCTTTTGCAATCAGTGAAATTGAACGATAGAGTTGCCCACCAATAATGAGTTCTATCTCACCAACCATAAGAATATCTGCTGCAGCCCTCATGTACACTCGCAAGCAGAACACCAAGCGCCGAAGAAATAATACTTTTAGGTCACCTTAGATTTTCATGCATCACATCACAGTCCAAACCAATCATGCCCCGTCTGAAAAAGGTATGAAATGTTCAGCCAGTCAAAACATGAATTGATAATCCACGTTTTTTTAAAGATCATTCTCGTGCTTGGAGGTCCATATTTAACCATTTTTATTAATTACAACTAGGCATACTACTGACACGCATTGGTGTGTATAAAACGAACTGGTTCTTTACAAATGTAGCAAGCCAACGAAACTGGGATTCTATATCCTAGTCTACCATAAGTGGACCCCACATTAATTTCGTCATCTGATGCCGTGTACAAACCAATCCTATCTTGATGCGACATTTTTGAAACTTACACGCCCAAAGATGAAATTGGCCCACTAGTCCAGGGAGATGGTTCCACAACGGCGGAATGTTTCTTCAATAATGAGCAAATCACACTAGTAGCTTACGTGTTCAGAGTCTGACATCCAGGTGTAAGAGTACGCGTCCGCCAAGCAAGTGCCTACTTTCGGATCATCACAAAAGCTGGCCCAGCTCGATTCGTGTGCGTTTGCTGCGGTTGTGACAAATACTGAAAGAAAGATGAATGTGCGCCCGATAAGCTTCGTCATTGGCTATCCGTCATGAATAATATGCTTGCACTCAATAATTGTGTTTCCATGAATAAATGCAATAGAAACTAAATAGCTAAATTTAATCATACCCCAAATAATTAGTAACCATTCATTTGGAAACGGTTGTGAATAAACCGATGACATTTTATGACAAGGACTCCTGGGGCTGTAAAGTGTTCGTATTATAAATAATATAATATAATATATTGGTGATGCATAAACAGTACTTCTTCAAGTTTGTTTAACGGGGGAGGATGACCAGATGTTTGGAATCACCCAATGACTTTATCGAAGCCGTATTATGGCATTGCGGGAGAGTTTCATTACACGCAGTGCTTGATAATCATGCTGGGGTGGGTCTAAAAATCATTTTAGAAGCCAGATGCTTAGGTTAAGCTTCCAATCTGCCACAACAGTGATTATCGGTGTAATTCGTTCCTGACTACATTGAGTTGAACACTGACCGAAACAAACAAAGTTCGTGGAAATAATAACTCCTCCATTTAAGGAGATTATTAATGAATAGTGATACACAGCCCACCGATAAGGATAAATTAAATGAACTTAGCACTGCTCATATTCCATTTTCGGATTAAATTGCCCCGACAGCAATACTGTCGGTTGTGAGCTTAACTCCGCGTGAAGTCCACGCCGATGTTACAACTGCTTGTGCAAGCTGGATATGTTACAATCAAACCACTTTACATCCTGAAGGGACAAATGGGGTTATATTCACTGAGTAAGGTTGCAGCCTCTTCTCCTGGTTTCGGTGTGTTTATTCGGAAGTTCTTCATTCTAAAATGAAGATACCGTTCGCGTAGTAAATGATCAGTCTAAATTGATATAGGGGCATATTAATTCTTTTGTCAGCTTATCATCAATTTCTAATTTGTGTAACATTCAACCTTGGTTTTTCAGAATTCCATGTTCAAATATGCTTTAAAATGGATAAGTAAATCCTACCGTTTTTATCACCGATATTTGAGTGTTTTTCCTTATCTAAAACTATGAATATATAATATCAACTAAATGCGTACCTAATGTTCTTCTCAGACTCACATTTCATATCATCATTTTCGAATTGTTTCCAACCAACCCATTACCCTACAGGCTAGTACTGAGTTGGGCAAACAGTGACACCTACCACAAGCTTAGAATGATGGGTTGTACCATATTGTGTTAAGGCCGAACTAAAAAATATCTGGTCAGTTACCCAATGGACACGTAGCTAACATAGTTATTTTTCTTCGTCTGACTTCCTGGGTTCGAACCTCATATAGGTCGATGGATTCGCAGTATTAATTTGACGTAATCCAGTCAATATAGCTTTAAGGTGCTTGCAAGTATTTCAGTTCATACTTCATTTGCGTTGCATATGACAAGATTCCATTTGAGTTTCACCTGTGTTTCATTTTCAGCATCCGGTCACCACCCCGAACGAGGACTTCTCAATGGTGGGATGAAATACATTATCTGAATGCAATGGAAGACAACGTATGTTCAATCTGAAATTCGTCATTCCAGTCGACCCACTGCCATCTATTTAAGACAATATTGATACACACGTTACTTGCACTAGGAGTCCAGGGTCCTAATCCTAGATTGAATGGCGAGCACATACAATTCTAACACGCTTGAACAACAGTGAAACTACCTCCCGATTTCATGGTGGATTAGATATACTGAGCAGCGTGCATGAACTACAAGTTCGTAGAGTTGTGAATATAAGTAAATCACATTTCAAGTTGCTACTTATGAGTAGTAATGATTTGAATACAAAAATGTATACGCGAATTAACTGTGAGGGTCAAAAGATAGTGATCAAGAATCGATGGAACGAATATCGACATGATCGTTTCGGAATAGGGGATTATTTTGCTTTTATTCATAAAATTACATTTCCAGGTACTCCGATGAAAAGGGGTAATTTGAAACTACTTTGATTGTCTGACTTAATGAAGCACGCGTGAAAATCCAGGTTGAGAAAATCCACGTTTGTTGCATCTGAGTGACGTATGATATTCAGAACAGCGAAATATGTCAACTGTGGTCCATGCGGTATAACGGAAGACTTACAAAACTCAGGACACTTGTTCAGTCCAAGATGTCCATTGAACACCACTGCCGCTCAAATTAAATAATTATTGAGGCGTCACCAACGCTGTGACTATGAGGAGAAGGAACCCCGATTTTTGACCTTTTGGCTTTTTTAGCCAGGAAGGAGCCTTCGCCATGCACGTTTCGACTCGAATTTATTAAGCATTACAAGTTTCGCATAATTAACATTCAGTAGTACGCATTCATTGTACCCAATAGCATTCCCTTGTATAATTGTGCTCTTTATGATTAGCGATGGGACAAAGAAATGGACACACCGGTCGAGGCATTCGTAAATTCCGGACATTAGAGGCAATTTAATTTAAAAAATCTATAACCTTAACCTCTCTTTCCGTACTGGAGATAAAATAGAAGATCATTATTAGGGGTTCAATTAATCTGTAATCTAGTTAGGGATGCAAACACAGATGCATAATGTAAGTCTGCATTCGTTGCGATTTGATTGGGATATTATCACATTATTTTCATCATCATCATGCCTGCACAATTTCTGTAGCTCAAATATTCATGTATCCGATTGCATTTGGACTTCGTTGCATAATTGCTCTTTGTTATTATTCATTAGGGTTTTGACGATGCCTTTGAAATGCCTAAATCCGAAATTATCACCTCAAGTATAGTCGGCATAACGCTGTCCTTTGAAGTGAAACATTTTTGATCAGGGATGGGGCAGTAACTTACTTCGCATATTCGTGGGCAGAAGATTTTCAAACATAGATCCAGCGTAGCATGCTTCGACATACATAACCAGACTGTTGTAACCTTTTTTCTTGTTCATGTTCGTAAATATGTCTTGGAGTTGTCTGGCGTAGAGCTAAAAACGAGCATTTTTCACATTAAAATTTGAGACAGGATAAATCTTTCTTGGTACCTATTGTATTCAATTTATTAGGATGATTTGCACACAGATTTCGAATTCAGAGCACACACGCATAACCTTCACGTCCTGATTTTGTACACAGCAACAGCAACAAGCTATACCTTGAAAAATTCTGTTCTTCCCAACTAGCCTGCTAATTGGGAAGGACAACATGGAAGCGTTCAAAAACAAACATGCTAGCTCTCATAGTAGAATATGTTTCTACACAACCGTACGCAGGGTTGCAAGCTACTCCCATCCGCCGACAACACAACGAACTGGACGCTCGATTGGCAAGAGCCTGTCCTGTGCAACTGAACTGAACTGAACAAGCGCCATTATTCACAAAGTGGCCTCCTTGCTCAGTTTACCTCGATATCAATTGGGCTGATCTCTTGGTTCTCAGCCAATTCGTTTCATGCAATCTATTTAACGGATTTTCCTTTTCATGAGTTTTTCTACTCGTAGTCCAGAACTTACATTGTTCACTCTTGGTTATCTTTTGCCCACGGTTAATATTACAGCCCAAGAAAGCCCATATGTTTTTGCGTCACGCTTACCCTAACCGTCAAAAAGAAGCTGATTCGACCAATGGTTCATGTGAGTCTCGGTTATTACCTGAAGCTGGTCTCCCTAATTTGTCACTCCTTGTATGACTTGTCGAACCATATTTGTTCCATCCAACTATCACCAAAACGTAATTGAACACTGCCAAAACCGAATACAGGGCTGAGATCAAAATAATTTACGGTTATTCAACCCTTTTTGAATAAGATAAGCTGACAAATTGCATATATTGGATAATGATGTCAGGTGAATGAGGTCAAGAGTGATTATGTATCAAATTCTGTTGGTTTCAGCAATGTGCTGTTCAGTATTAGCAATCCACAGATCAGGATGCAGGGAATTGCTGGGTGGTGTTGGTCAAGCAATGAATGTCACCAAATTATCGCCGCGGAGGACGAATCACGCCATAAGCGCTTAATTTGCCCCATTTCTGGCAGACATTTGATTTGCTGCTTACTTCCTCTTGAAAATGCTATCAATAAATATTCAATACAAGGAAGTAACGCTTAAATCAACCTGCAATTGAAGGCAAATGTCGAGTTATCCTAGTTCTGCCCATGAGGTCCAGGGTTCGATCCCCAGTTGGGTCCATGGATTCGCACTGCTGATGAGACCCAGCCATTTCAAAACAACTGTCCAGTGCTTCGTAGGTTTCAATTCACTTTTGATTTGTCATATACACGACAAATTTCTACATTAAAATTGAATCAAATCCTCCGTTACTCACATGAATTATTCTATTGCCATTATCAGCTCTGTCAGTATTATTCCATTTTATCTCAGCATCATTTCCGAGCGGGATGGAGGTTCTTTTGACCTCAATCAGCCGCACATGCTGTACATCCAACAATGTACCTTGACGACTTAACTTGTACATCTGCATGTGCATGCCCGTCTGTTCCTTCGAACAGCCAAATCGTGACATATTCCATTCCACTATTGCTCCCTCTTCGATTGATATACGCCTGATTGTTGTTCAGATTTACATCTAGGTACAGTACTGCTTGCAGGATACATTGCATTTCGCAGTGGCCTCCATGGAATCATTGAAACATCTAGTACCCTCCAAGTAACCAGTTCTCTAAATGACAAATTTAGTGACATTCACATTCAAAAGAAATTTCTCCATCAGGCCACCCACGATTTTCACAGTGTAAGGGTACCAAAGAAATATACCACGCGTGAAATGACAGTTGCCGAATGAATATTATGTCCGCATCAACCATTCAAATTAAACATTTGATTAAATTAACTTTTTGAGTATATATTTACCCAAATGGGATCTCGAAGCAACTTACCTCTCCGTTAGGAAATCCAATTAGATTCGGAGCACCGTGATCGGTGAAGAAGATGAACACATTGTCACCAGGTCCACTGAAATAGAGAGACAAAACCGCGTGAAATCGAGAACACCGAATATTAATTTGTGTCGAAAGCACCAGAATTATGAGTTTTATTTGTAAACGATTGTCGTTGAACTGTAACTGAAATAAAATGCTAAATAAAACCAATCTGCCAGTCGTATTGAGAGAATTACTTATACACTATGATCACATCCTTTTGATTCCTTTCTGATGTACATGTCACTGTAAAAGCGAAGTGTATAAGCGAAGGAGGTCATCAATCAAACGGCTCGCATACGATAAACAGAAACATGTAACGTAAAATATCAGTGGCACTGTTTCAGAACATGACCTCAGGATTAATGTGTTGCCTATCAGCCTGACATTTCGATCACGGTCGCTAGGATATAATTTAGTTGTGTTGGTAATAAGGTATAAATGGACACATTAGGAACGCAATTTGTGGTAAATTACTGCATTATGTTATGAATGGTAGATATGAACTAGCGTTGAAATATATAGACGGAAGCCAGCTTTTTCGGTGCGCAGTGTACACCCAACTGAAAGACGATGCATACCCCGGGATAAATTATCAATAATTGCGCAGTTGCACTGTTTCCATAAACTTAAATATTAATTTTGAAACTGCTTTGTTCCACGTATTTTATGAGAGTAAATTTCACCTGTTGACGCTCGGGTTTTGTTTATACCGTGTGAATGCTATTCAAACGAGTAAATCGTGTCGCAAATTAAACATCTACCTGACAGCAGAATCTCTAAAAGGCAGGCATTGTTTCACCTTTATCAGTTCAAATCAATATTGCACATTTTCCTCTTTCGATTTGAGGAACGAAATCATGGTGATTATTCAGCTATTCAGTGATCCGGTTTAGCCCAGGATGTCAGCTTGTGCACGTTGCCTATCTCCAATCGATGCAAAACTAAAAGGGATTATCTCATCAACCAAGTACTAACATCAGATAGCAAGTTCCACATAATATGTCAATTCATGTTGATACGAAAACTTCTCTGGATTTGTTGCCGAAGACTAACCGGATGAGTCGATTTTGGATTTCCAGTGAGGCCCAGTCACTCATTTATCGACGGGGCGTTTGAAGTGATTCACCTATTCATTTCATATGGTGCATAGTAGAGGTAGCATCTCTGAACCACTATACTATCGGATACTTTAGTGTATGTTATACCTCGTTGCAATTACTGAGTTTGCCAGATCTTGATTCTACTCCAACCAGCTGTAGCATGTGCAAACAGCCGTACTCAACTAAACCGCCCGACAGACAGAATAAACCAGGCTGAGGATGACCGAGGTCCGAAAGTCCCCAACGATATGGCAGAGAACATACGAGGACAGCTTTTGTTGAGTGAAAGGTTATTGTCTGGAATAATTGCAGTACAAAACTTGAGGATCTCCACTGATACTGTTTTACCCCTTAGAGAAGCCAGGTTTTGGAAACGCAATTTGAACAAATGGATCCAACCGGAACATTTTTTGACGAGTTACTGGCAAATAGGTGAAGTATTTCTAAATATTTTGCAACTTACTGTGACGAAAAATGGCATAAATTGTATTCACGAATTGACTTTTGAGTAAACACGAGAAAGTCGAACTTATACGGTGTTGTCATGTTTTATAGAAGGACCAAATAATTCTCACTATATTAATCCTTAGGGGGGGGGGGAATTGACGAACTAAATAATGGATTCAAAGAGGACAATTAATCAAGGATGACAGGAGAGAATCGAGAAATAATCGCAGTTTGATGAACCAATTCCGCATTCAGGAAACCAGAGGGGGGAAGCACGTAGCGGGGATGAAAAAAAACTCATTTTGCTCTCTTACAATATGGTTGCCCTTACACCGTAACCGCAGTGGAGGAAAACAATTTATCAATCCAGTCTAATTTGCTTTTATACCCAAACAAACAATAAACTGGAAATTTCTCGACAGACTATCGCATGGTGTTGTGATAAACGTACTCGTCATAGCATAAAAACATGATCCTTTTTTCTAGGCTACCGTAGTGTGTGTTCAATTGTTTGGTGAAAGTGGTCCTCAGTTTAACTTGGTGACCACCCGGAGTTTCGGTGGTATGAATCCCGACACCACCAGTAATCTCTGCATTTCCGGGAGTTCCCAGTTGACTCTTGGCGAACCGAAGTCACATTGCAGATATTCACCTTGGTGAAACTCTATACTCTTTGATTGATGTAGAGAAAGCGAAGCTTTATGTATTATAACCGCTGAATTTCCTCTCGTTGATTTGCACGTACGGAAGGTCCATAGATTCATTGTCCTAATGTGTATTTACAGTAATCTAAATCTCCAGGTTCCTGACGCTTTCAACAATATGCATCATAACAAACATCGTTTCTTAACTACTCACGATTCGAGCACTTTCTTTCCGGCTTTCTTCAACTCTGGATCCCCCAGAAGGACACGGCGAAACATCGCTGGCGTAACATCCTGTGGGAAATAGAAAGAGACAATGGGTTCAAAAATTGGTGGGTGGATTTTGGAACTAGCTTTATCGTGGTCTAATTTTCATTGCTCTGAATTACATTAAAGTGTACGTTTGAATGTATGGAGTAATATCGGGATATTATCGCACGGATGTTCACAGAATACTGTGGTCAAACCATATGCGTTGGGTATTTGAAAATGGAACTCAACAACAACCATTGCAATGCACAGGTTAATTTCTTTAAACTTTATTAACTAGTAGCGGTAGATGCTATGCTCTTTCCAATAAAAATTCAAATTCTGTCAAAGAGTGCTGAGTGCTACCTGGGTGTATGATCTACCAGTTCAACTGAGGATAGCTCGCAAATGTGAAGTGTTAGAGTAACGCATAAACGGTGTATTAATGCACATTATGTGATTGCTTTTATGTGAGATATTTGTTCCTTGAAAGAGAAATTACACTTAATTGAACCAAAGAAGAACCGAATCCTTCATTTTCCTTAGAACACGTAACACGTAACTTCCGATATATATGTGGAAANAAACAAGCGATCTACTTGTCTGATAATTTATAACTGCGATACAGTATAGAAGAAAGTTTTCGAACTGGAGCCAATTAGGTGCACTCTCCTTTAGTCGTGGCTCAATGTGTATGAAGTAGAAAACAGTAAAGCAGAACATCATTATTTCAAGGATACACGATAGGCTTTAAGTTGAAGAAGCATTCAGGTAAGTACCACCCAATGCATTATACTCTCAGACAGGTAAAGGTTAGAAACAGCTAGAAAGAAAGAAAGAGGAACTATATTCTTGTTTGGTATTTTGGCGGCAAGTCATCACAAATGGAAGATAGGGGAATGAAAATAGCAGGGGAAAATCAATAAAATATCACTAACGGGCTTGTCAAAGGCAGGTTGATGGCAGCATTTGTGTAGAATGACTGTCGAAGAAATTCCTGAGTCAGAAAGTAGTTTATTGAAGACGACGGAGAACAATAGTACAAGAATGGTTTGCCGAAGGCCAACTCATTGTAGCTTCGAGGTTAGGGAAGTCTAACTGGCCCACCCTTCGGATAGCCCCATGTTGACTGAAATCAACGCAGAAGAACCCGAGCATAAAGCCACCGCTCATCTCACATGAGACTAATCAAAGCAGGAATACTTTTAATTCAGTCACCGTACCATTAATCTCTGAGTTACAAATGTATTTGTTGTAATAAATCCAAAACACCATATACTTCACAAACCCTCGTTCTCAAACATTGTGATATGCTTTACCACCTACAAATGTTCTACTTATTGGATTGCATGAGATTAAATGAAATGTGATCGTTAGAATCGGGTGACTTACAGTGCCATGATAATCAACTTTGACACCGCGGTATACATCATTGTGTTTGTAATCGTTATACAATTGTCCGGGAAAGGGATTACTATGAAAGTAGTATTGAAAGGGCGTAGCTTGTCATGTTGCACCATAAACCATTAGTACGTTTGTAATAAATCACTGCTTGCAATAATATAATAATTTATTTTATAAATATAGTTAAGCGTTGAACAATTATCGGGGTTGTCCGGGAAATGTGTAGAACAGGAAGATAGGTTTTCAGTAACAATGACTTCTGGTTTGTTCTTGGAGAATTACTGATTCCTGAGAAATTTACGGTGAACATGTTTATTAAAAACCAATTCGTAAATATTGTTCCTCTTTTCGTTTTAGCTGTATAACCATCAGCAGAAAATTCAAGAACAATTCTAGTTTTCAATTTAGATAGTATATTGACAGCCTGACCTATCACCTATCACCGGAAACGATTCGTACTCAAGTACCCCCTCTCTACAGCGTTCATGAGGCCGACTGCTCTGTCTATCCTTCACACCTCATACAATCCTCCTCATAGAAGTTCCAATATTGTGCAAGGACTATCTTCCACTGCCTCTTATTTGTTGATCTACCATACTTCGTAGCCGCTGGCTAATCCAATTAGTGGTGTGAAATTGTTATGTGCAATAAGTCATTTGCAATTATCCCAACCACTGATGTCAATGATTACGCAAGTAAATAAGGGTGCACCTTAACACACATTTTGTACTCATAATGTTTATTCTCTATCAATAACAAGCATCATGGAGCCCCCCTTTATGTTCTCCCGTACTCCTACAAGCTTACCCGAGTGTACTCCGCCCTAAGATCGTCCATTACTATACTATT